TAAAGGTAATCATAAGTGTACGATCAAATACGTGCAGCAGGCAGCATAACTTCAGCGCTGCAGATGTGGCCACAGGGCAAATTTTTTCTTTCTTTTCTTCAAATGCGTGCGTTTATAGAGGTCGCTGGTTCGACCCGATCTTTCAGCAGTTGAAACAACGGGACAGCTTCACGAATTCTCACACCTATGTCCTCCCGGGAGTATAAATGGGTAGCACCACAGCTACCTTGTTCAGTAGATTGCAAGAAGAAGAAAAAAAGGTTTGGCCAGACTGGAAGAGTAGACCAAAACATCCTCTAGATGGACTCTCTAGAGCTCCCTCTAGTGGAGGGCCATCAACCAGCAGCGGCATGAGCAGGCATTTGCAGGGCTACACCTTCATCTATATACATGCGGAGTACTCTATCGTAGCAATGAAACATATTCCTGCGGAGGGAGCTGGTAGGAACGTTGGGTTGCTCGGTCAATGGCCAGGGTCAACGGCGGCACCACGTGGTGTATTCCGCAAATATGCCCGACTGTGAGGGCGGGCACAAGCCGGCGTGAGTAGGTTAAACGTTCAGTTTTATAAGGGCACCACAGGGTGACCAGCCCCTCCCCACTCAGCCCCACCCCTCCCACCCCCCACCCAGCCCCAGCCTCCCCACCCAGACCCTCCCCACCCTCCCCACCCAGCCCCTCCCCACCCTTCCCACCCAGCGCCACCCTCCCCACCCAGCCCCTCCCCACCCTCCCACCCCCCCTCCCAGCCCCTCCCTCCCCACCCTCCCCACTCCACCCAGCCCCACCCCTCCCATTTTTGGATGCACGACGGACGGACGGACACAATAATCCCCTGTGGGCTGGTGTAACCATAATAAGTGTACGTAATGCGTAACAATGTGCATACATTGGCACTTTTTTTCTCTCAAGAGAACACTTACGTGTGGCGAATGGGTGGATCAAAGGGGCATTTTCTTTGCAGGCAGGAGGGCCTTGAATTCAAATCCCATCACAGCTCCGCACGCTCATTGAACATAAGATATAAGGATTCATCTCCGTGATCTCCAACCTCTGTGAATGTAGCGGTCACTCTTATTACAGTCCAGTTATAATATGCATGCCCACAATTGTGACCGACTGGTGTGATATCAAGTTTAATTATGTTCCAGAAGTACCACAGATTATCCTTACAGCTATAAAACAAAATCTTTCAAATGTCGGAACCCCCATATATTATGGCCTGGCAGTTGGCTTCACATATCGTGCAGGCTCAGACTATTATTATTATTCGAAATCGCTGTAAGCCATCCGATGAAAGCTTTAAAAAATTGTATGATCCCATCATCAGTGAACCGATGAGTTGCATCCCATGGCATGTGATATTAAAGCCACTTGAAAATAGGAAAAGCTTGATACCAGTCACAAGTAGACTACATGTACAATAATTCCTCGTTTAAAACGTGGTAGATGCGTTCGTGAAAAAAAAAAGTGCCGCATTATGTGAAATCGCGTACATAGAACTACCATATATTTTCGCTACGTGGTAGGAATAAATAATGTCAATTCGAATCACATTTGCACGATGAACTCAGCCTGCAATTTGTCTTCTAGCGGGACAAAGCTCTGAGATGAGAGGACGCTGCCGCTACGTACTTATCGTCCCGCGTACTGTATCGTCCCGCGTACTGTATCCTTCCGCGGACTGATTCCTACAGCTCAGCCGTGCTGCTCAGGAAAGTAGTTTGTCGTCGACCGCTCAGAAACGAGGGGGGGAGGGGAGGGGGGGAAGGCACGTTCCCGAATTGTGCAAAAAAATTGCCAAATTGAAGAACTGTGTTAAGGCGACAACGCGTTTTGTGAACATGCTTCAAGCAATGACGTGCCGCGTCGATGCATATGTGTGTGTGTGTTGTTGGATTATTCCTGAGAGTCAGAAAAATTGGAGTTTGATATGAGATGTCAGATGATCCGAAAATGTCTTTGTTTTGGATTGATCCATAACGTGACGTCACAATAGGTGACATCACTTCCGTGATGTCACATCCACAATTATCCTGTCAAAATAAGGGGATCATATGTGGATGTGACATCACTTCCGTGATGTCACAACCACAATTATCCTGTCAAAATAAGGGGATCATATGGCATGGGTAATGTCACCTTTTTTTCATACAAAAGACACAAAAAAATTACATAATGTAAATGATCTGAAAATCCTAGAAAATTATTACGAGATCCTAACAGTCCTTAAAACATACTCTTTGTCTTTTTTTCCGGTAAAGTCACGTAGGTAAAATAAAAATAAAATAATATAATAAAATAAACTAACTAAATGAAATAACGACGTTTCGGAGGCAACACAAGCTTCCGTCTTCAGGTGGAATAGTCACAGCAAGATAGCTGCATCAAGTGAGCGGCTCTGAGACACCCGAGCTTATGTACAGGTTAAGGGGGGGGGGGGGGGGGGAGGAGCCAGGCCGGGGATGACGATGAGGTGCGGGGCTGAGTTAATCCGTCTTTTGTTATGCTGAGGGTTCGGGGGATGCGGTGGTTCACTGCACGAGGGCAATGGAAAAAAAGGGGGGAAACAAGGTTGTGCACTTATAGGGGAGCTAAAGTTTTGACTTGGTTTATGACATCTTTCCAGTGGTTGCTTAATTTAAAACCATCCTCTCGGTTGAAGTTGTGTCTATGTTTGTATATCTGGATGGCTTCATGGACAAATCTTTGGTAACCGGGAGGTTTGCATAGTACTTTGGTATCGGAGAAAACAATGTCATGAGAACCCGCTGTGTTGAAACAATGATCAGCTACGGCCGAAGAATTCGTTCTGCCGTGTTTCAAATCTGATTTGTGCTCGCGAATTCGGTCAGAAATATGTCGTTTCGTTTTCCCGATATAGCAGTCACCGCAGATACAACTCAATTTGTAAACACCGGGGTACTGTAAGTCAGGAATGACGTCCTTTACGGATGGGATCAGATCACGGATTTTGTGTACTGCATTGAACCGAACCTGGATCTTGTATTTGTTTAGAATTTTGGAAATCTTTTTGGTAACGCCTGCTATGTATGGCAGTGTGATGATTTTGATCAGAGTATCAAGTGGTTGTTTCTGTATGGTGGGAGAAACAGCTTGGTGGATGATACGGTCAGAGTAACCGTTCATCTTGAGGGCTAGATGTACATGTTTCAATTCACTGGTCAGGTGGTGTTGGTCAGAAATGCAATGAGCTCTATGGTATAATGTTTTGATCAGATAATTCTTCTGAGCCGGTGGTGGTGGGAATCAGGCTTCAAGTAGGAATCTGTGTGGGTGGACTTCCTGTAAACAGACTGTCCCAAGGAGCCATCAGTCCTCCTCTCAAACAGAACATCCAAGAATGGCAGCTTGCCATCTTTCTCCACTTCCATGGTGAATGTGATGGATGGGTGTCTGGAATTGATGTGGTCTTTGGAAATGGTTCAAAGCCGGGAGGCCATGTGGCCAAATGACGAAAGTGTCATCCACATATCTCTTCCACAGGGAAGGACGAAGGGTGGATGTCTGGATGGCGTCTGATTCAAATTTCTCCGGCTATTACTGGTGACAAGGGGGAACCCATAGGGGGACCCTCATTGTGTTTGTAGAAGGTACTTGTTTGTATAAGGTCCTTAAAACACCTTTACATCCTAAATATTTGAGTTTGAAACTCATCCGTAATATGTTTATCAAACACAAAATTAGTTGATACTGCATTGGCAATGGTGCACAATGGACAGATCGCAACGAACTAAACACATTTATCAAAATCATTGTGGCCTCAAGAGAAAAAAATACTTATAGGTGACTTTTTGGGCAATAGACCTTCTTCATTGCACATAAATAAAGAAGCCTGGGAGAGAGAGAACATTATATGAGTTGGAGACTGCCCTTTACAACATGGGGCCTGAATTATATACATATATACGTGTGTATAGCTTCATATGAAGTTATATAATTTACTACATAATGTGATTTTTTTTATTAATTTTACGTTTGCACATCTGTTCTGGAGGGTCTACTGCGAGACAGCTCATTTCGAGTGAGACAGGGGCCCTCTTGGAGGCCTTTTTGTATGCAATTCGAGGTACAGACTGTGAATTAAATTCCATGAATACCAATATGTAGTTTAAAAAAAAACTACTTCCGCAGCTTATTAGTACATGTACATACACAGAGGGTGAACGAACAAGTCTTGGCAAACCTTGTTCGAGCTGCACTGCTGACAGTCGCATGCCGAGGGGTTACGTATCACAAAACAGCCAACCTGGAAATGAATTCCGCCTCAAATCGTGTCCATTCAGATCTCATCACGCCACTGAGGATTAGGGAGTAAGATTGCCTTACAATGAGCCATCCATAAATCTTTAACGACGCTCGCCGGTGAAAAACGATTTCAAAACAGGATTGCAGTGGATTATCTGCTCTGGGGGTACGTGCGAGGCGACGTGTCCCCTCCAGTTGTGCCTGGCCTGAACCCACGGTCACTCATTTAAGTCGTAACGCCAGAGAAAACACAAGCACTACACCGGAACGCTTTCCTCGTATTCGTTCTACCATTGAAGCAGCGTTACCACCTTTCTGCATCCACCACCCCCCCCACTCCACGCCCCCCCCCACACCTCATCATTCTGTATCCCCCATGACACAGCCGCTGGAGATTACGAACAACGTCAAGAATATAAATAAATAAGCAGATAAATAGATACATCCAGCGTACAAGGCCCCGCTTACTCCACCTTGTCACGGATTTTCGTGAAAAATGAGACCTCTGTAAATGATGCATATTAAGCTATGGGTGGGTGACACAGGCTGTGGGTGAAGAACTCTACGTGCGTCCACAATTTGCCCTACTTTGTATCGCCTCCCCGCGATGGCCTTACCGGGCCTGGCAATTGATCAGAATAAGGAACGATTTTTTCATTTTTTTTTTCACTTTTAAAATCCCGACCGCGCGCGCGCCATCCATCCAGTGGCTCATTATGTGAATTCCCCAGGAGGTGGCTTTGTACCGGATCTTCAGGCAAGAAAAGCTGGGTCTGACTGTGTGCTACCGCACGGACGAGGAAGAGGACTTGGGAATTTACGTCAGCGAGGTGGGTGGTCGTCACATCAACACTCTCTCGTTTCTTCAGAACTGCTTGTTGTTGCGTTCAGTTTTATGTCCTTCCACCCCGGCACATCCAATTAATGCGGTTGGCTATGTACGGTGCAAAAGAAGTTGAACGTAGTACATACATACGAGAGGTGGCCGGGTGGCTCAGTGGCTCAGAGGTTTAGAGCACGAAGTTGCGACCGATGAGGTCCTGGGTTCCGAATCCAGGCAGCTGCCTGTGATTTAAACCGGGTTCACAAGTGTAGTGACTTGATGGCCCTCGGTTCATCAATGGCGACGGAAACCTCCCCCCCCCCCCCCCCCCCAAAATAAAAACCCCATCACATTCAGTGTGGTACTTGCACAAAATTTGTCTAAATTAAAATATTGGTTCGACTGTGACGCAGTGAACATTGCTCTCGCGTAGAAGGGTGGGGTGGGCGATTGCTGCCCGCCCCCCACCGCCCGTACCCTACTGTATGGACCAGAGGTTCACGTGAAGGGATTTCAGAGGTAGCTCTGTGACATCAACTTACGTGGGTCATTCTCCACCAAGCAAGACATCCGTCTGGTGGCACGATGCCCATAGAGTGGCGTTTCTCAAACTTGTTTGGCCAGCGGGCCACTCAGCCGATGCAAACATTTCCCACGGACCGCACATCCCTGGTGACAAAACACATCCACTTATTTATAAATACCAGCAATTCAGAATGCATTTTATTACTGGAACATAAAAAAAATAAACACAGCTTCAAGGTGTTTTTTTGGGGGGGAGGCTTGGAGCAGTTTAATGTATGTACTTTACCTAACTTCATTTTGAAATTAAATATCACAAGTAAAACATTTCATTAACCTCCGAAACAAATGACATGCACGTTGGCATTATAATTGTCCGGAACAACCTGCGTTTGCATCACAGCCCCGCGCAGCACCTGGAGGAGCGTGACGGACCACCACCGGTGCTGGTCCAGGTACCGCACTCTGAGACCCGCTCCTCAAGAAGAGCAATCAGAATAAATAAAAAACAATTGCGGGAAATGACAAAGAGGAGTGCCAGTGTGGGAGCTGTCCGTGGTACGCTTGTGAACTCCCAATTCCTCGTAGACCTCGCCTCCCACCCCTCTCTCCCCCACCCCCTCCCCACGCACAATATCGCACAACTCAAACTTTAAAAGGGCAGCCAATAGTGTCCATTCACACTCAGATGTAAAATCAATGGGCAAATTAATGTACTGACGCTGTACGTGGGATACCAATTGATTTGAAATTGGGGCACGGTCAAACATTTTCAAGCAGGGACACATTAAACCACGTGTGTTAAGATTTTAGTATTTTCCAATTGATGAAAGTTGTAACAATTGTGTTAAGTTTTAGATTAACAGTGTGAATAAAACGGTACTATTGAGACAAACATTGTGTTTCTTGAACACCGACCAATGGGATGATAAAATGAGACACAATAAGACGAACTTCTTCAATCGTGAACCTGAATCGTGGCAGCTCATTGAATTTCTGGTGATTTATTGTTACACGCCTAGTTTCCAGTGGCAATTTTTTTCCATATATATGCAGAATTAGAATTATGTTGATGTATATTTTTATCAGTATGGCTAGACATTCTTAACACTCACTCAATCAAACACACACTACTTGAATATTAAAGTACAAATTAGACTTCGTTAGACTTTGCCGAGTGTCTTGTTCTCAAAACGTTTGGACCACCTCCTGTGCATTACAACGCCGACACCAATATTTCATCCCAAACGAGCGCATGAGGCGCCACGTGAGCTAACTGGCTGACGTGGATAATAAAGACGGTTGGTTTGTCTGCGAGGACACACATTGAAGATCATTGTCGTTCATCGCGAGAGGGGGGTAGCGTTCGCAACAAAAAAAATATTAAAAAATTAATCAGCGACGCAGCAAATTGCATTCGAGCATTTGAAATCAACGTGTCAGAGACGCAGTACGAGACAACTGGATGGCCGTGCGTGTTCGTTTTACGATCCCTTTGTGTTTTTGTTTGGTTCGGCTATGCCTTACGATCGCGAACACTCACCTGGAAATTGAGTGGGCGGACGCCTTGTCCATGCAACGTAAGTGCCACCGTGTGTGCACTTGCCCGTGACATACAGCGTTGCATCCGTGTGCTTCGCTGGAGCCAACGGTTAGCGATGTCACATAAATCATGCAAATGTCTCATTAAGGCAATTCAATACCAGCCAGACACCATCCACTCAAGGCATGTAACTAAACCTCCACTAGCTGGGAGCGTCCACACGTGTAATTGTGATGGGTTTTTTTTGTGTGTTAATGGCAGCATTGGCTGTATTTATATACGTAGCCCTATCTCTCTCTCTCTATGTGCTACAAAACACGAAAAATGTCGCTTGTTTTTCCGATTTAAAATACATGTTTGAAATAAGATGCTTTTTCAGGCTGATGCGCGGCGGGAAATAAGTCACCGAACTGATATTCAGCCCAAAGCAAGTAGAAACAATAGCAAAAAATAAGCTGCGGCTGGGAATTTTCACAGCCAGAAACAATGCATCACCCGCAAGCCATGAGCAGCCAGCAATATATGCAGAATAGATCTGTGCAATGTTTGCAATCCAAATGTCTCTAACGTTATAAATACAAGCAAATCTCTTTTTTGATAGCATGACAATTTGTTGCCGGCATATTATTTGATACACAGCAACTTTTAAATTAAATACTCCATTGCTTCCTTGCATAATGCCTCAGTGGGCATTTATATGTCTTCAGGGGGCCTCCTAAGACATCTGTGAAATACAAGAGGAGTGCTTCGTGAGCCTAGACTGTAATAAACAACGATTCGCTACCACACTTCCGTGAGTAATTTCAATTGATTACGGAGAGCCTCGATCTACACGAGAACACTTCCAATACATCAGTTGCTTTTCTTTTTTTTCCAAACAAGGGGAAATGGCCGTATTCTCGAACATCAAACACATTGGAAGCAAATTCTTGAGAGCATTCCCACTTATATATTTATATGTTTTACACTACATGAAAATCAATGGCAACAAAGGCGTACTCTTGTCATTAGCGAGGCTCTATATGGGATGTTTATAATGCTCCGACTTTTATTTTTTGCACCACTGCTTTACCAGTTACATTTTTCGGGGGACAGCCAAACGAGTGACGAAAAACACGTTTAATTGGGGTGTAATAAATTACATTATTTACTAATTGGCATATTAGCCACTTAGTACTTAATTGGATATTTGAGTGTCTACTACTAATTTGGATTATGCCATTGCATCCACACTGGAATTTAGCAATTAAATTGATGAGCTTGTTATCCAAACCATACTTTATATAATAGCGCATATATACAAACACTCAATTCATTTATACAACACATATATGCAGTGCATCCACATAACCCTTTGATGTGAATTTTAGTAATACTCTGCTCTTATTTGGAAGCTATTGCATGGGTATATATATAATCCAAAGGCGCAGCCCTGCAATTGCTCATTCACGTCACTGCCAGCAAAAGGGCCTCCACCAGAGGGGACCCGAGAGATACCCCCTCTATAAGGTATTTGGTCTACTCTTCCAGGCTCGCCAGACACATTGGGAATCGTGAGAGTACTCACAAAGACAAAATATCTCCCGTATAGCCTGAACAGACTGTTGGGGCAAGTGCTGTTAGCGAGCACCTATGAAGGCCGGCACTGCACACGAGTGGGTGGGTGGCCAACACCATTGCCGGCCGCCTTTGTCTACCCTGTAGCGATGTTTACACACTGCACCAGGTACTCATTTAAGGCTGAGTCGACCTCGGGGAGCCCCAGAATCGGATCAGATAATCGTCACTAGTGTTGGCCATAAACTGGAATTGAACTCGTGTCGCTAGGTTCATAGCGCAGGGTAGCACTAACCGCTTCACACTCGCAGTTTACCCCGCCACATGCATGCATGCATCCTGCCGATGGGCTGTGCTGTAGCTATTTATGCTGCTGGGTTGACAGATGTGGGAGATTTGATAAACCTGCACAGTTGTTTCATTGCCACTCTGGGAGATCGAATCAAACCGGTGACCTCTAGATTGGAAGCCCAGGGTGCTAACCATTCCGCCGCGTGTTATACGCGTGTGTGTCTACATATATCCAAACAATGCATTACCTGCTCCAAAATAAGTAATTTGTTAACGGTACATTTAATAAAGCGCTCGGAATGGTGTGTGTGTGCTGAAACGGTCTTTTGAGATTGATTACACAGTGCTGGAGGCAGGGCTGGGCTAGTCATCATGCAAGAGTGAACGGACATTTATCCATTTCGTTTTGAGTATCATTTAATTTGTGTGCCTGCTGCCAAGGATAACAAACACGTTCTTGCACAGCACGGATAAATGAGTTCAGGGTCATTGCAAAATGGGCTTTCTCTGTGGCATGACCACAAACTTGAATGTTAAATTAAAATTATTATTTTTTTTTAACAAAGATAACTTTTTTTCATCCGGTCAGGTGGCTCAGCAGGAAAGTGAGTGGCTCACAATCAGAAGGTTGTGAGTTCACATCCTGATTAGGGGTTAGCTCAGCCCATCATCCCACTGATGTGGATAAAAAATGGTTGTTCAATGGATGGATAGACTCACTGTTTCCACAGGAATGTGGAATTGCTTTCACTGGCTCAGAGCTGTTAACAGTAGATGACGATCACTGCAGAAATGCTCAGGAGGAAATTACATTTATTCCGCACATTATTAGTCTCTCATAGCAAAAGGAATTTCCGAGAGGCGAATTAATAATTGTAACGTAAATTTAATATATTTGTAACTAAGCTTTGTTTCTTACATTATTATCAGTACTACCTGCCATGGTTGAGAAATATCGGGATTTTCAATGTATGAAAATTCTAAAACACAAGCTGACAATTGCGCAATGAAGCATGGAGAGATGCACGCTTGCGATTACATTGAAAGACAAAAAGAGGAACACACGAATTAGAAGATTAAAACTCCTTCCAGTTCCGACGACGTACGTGTACATATGCGTACGTCATCGTAACGGAACCGGAAAAAAAACCTAAAATAAAATAGCTTCATCAATACCGAGGCTCCCACAAGGCCATGCGGGAGGGCGTGTGGCACAGGTTGGCGCCAGCTATCGTAGAGTGTGGTCGTGTCACTACAGTTATCTGCGGTGAGTACAATATATTTGAAAGCAACGGTGCCACCCCTCTCTAAATTAAATGTAACGCTGAACCGCTTGCGCGTTCCGTGATACAGGGGTGAACGTGACCCCACCCTGCAACAGGAAAGGATTAATGACATAATTAAAACTGCTCAGAAAAGTAAGTGGGGCTTGGGCAGGACGTGTCGCTAGAGGGGACGATGGATCTTGGTCAAGAATAGTGAGCGGCTGTCAGAGAATGAAACACGTCCACAAGGACGGCTACCGAGGAGATGGAGCGATGAAATCAGTTGGACGTCCAGCTGCCTGGTGGATTGTTGCATCGCATGATCGGGAGATGTGTTGGCGGCTCAGGGAGGCCTTCATTCAGCAGTGGATTGACCACGGCTGATAATGACGATGAATTAACACGCTTCGCTGAAGAACGCAACCAAACATATTTTTAAAGATAAATCTTCCCCATATGTTTATATATAGAATGTCAATTTCCCATTGACCTTTTGAGATTGTGAACTCCACAAATCATAGCGCGTGTGTGTATATATATAAATATATAATGTGGGGTAACAGTGGAGGAGTGGACAGTGCACCACGCTATAAACCCGACAAGCTGCATTTGATTTCCACCCCCAGCTAACATCAGTTGCAAGTGATATGTGAACCAGTCCTGGGCCTCCCCTGGGTCAACTTAGCCTCAAACGAGTATCGAGTGGAGTGTGTGCCAGTGGCTCTGGCCTCTCCTCCATCAATTCCTAGCCTTGATGGGTGCCCGCAAACACCAGCGGCAACAGTCTGTTAAAAGCTTTACACGGGATGTTTTGTTTTTGCCCTTTATAAACACACAGTGGATGGTGCAGTGGCTCGCACATTGGACTATGCAATCCAGAGGTTACCGGTTCAATCGCCTGCTGCGAAAGTTGAAACCAAAATGGAGCAAGTTTCTTCAATATGTGAGCCCCGTCCCTCGCGTCTGTCCACCCTGCGAACGCCAGAGTCAGCCGATGGGCAGGTCGCGTGTCTGGCGGGGTCAGGGTTTGTGCGTCCCTGGACAGCGTGGAAGAGCCACGGCTGAAGTCCTATCCCCCAACAAGGGGGGCACTTGCTGGGGGAGAGTATTTAGCGGAGGCATTTTCTTCCAGCAGTCGTGGCGGTCGTCGTGAGCAACCGCGGTGCCGCTCCTCTACCCGGGTTTATCTTTTACACACAAAGTCAAATCACGTCTCTCCACGGTGGCGAGATGTTAACTACCTCGCCCGGTATACAGGAGGTCGTTGCTTCGTTCCGAGTTTGCGTGTTCTCCCCGTGGTCCTGGCGATTTTTCTCCGGGTCCACCGGGTTTCCCCCCCCCCCCCCCCACCCCCTCGATATTTCGAATCAAAGTGCGTTTCGAGTATGTGGCCTTCAATTGAATGCCCACGTGATGATAAGCCACTTTGCTGAGCTTTCATTTGTGATGGCCAGGCCGCGTCGGAAGAAAAAAAAGAGTTATATCGCTCAGTGAGCCTTACCCCCACATTGTGCAAGAGCGCAGAAGCGTGGTCACCACATCTACGCCTCTAGAATAGGAACGAAACAGTAAGACTTCTCAACAAATATGTCTGTTGTAATTACTGGCAAAACGTTGTACTCAGACGGTAAATGTTGTGTCTTGGCTCTCCAAAACACCGGTGTGCTGTACTAGTGACGAATTGGGGGTTGCACCCGATTCAAGAGCCGAATGGCTCACAGGGCTATACCAACAAAAAAATGAACTGAAAATGAACTGAATTGGCACGTTTTGTTTACGTGAGAACTCTGACTAGTTGGCTGTGTCGGGTGGTGGAGGGCTTTAACGACGCATTCATATATTTACGCGACCTAACCCAAAAACAGCTGTCATGGATTTTTGTGAGTTTTAGTACGCACACCTGCTCCGCGATGGCCGACCAGGGCAAAGGAGAGTCACCACGAAGACATTGCATTCCACCCAACCCCAAACCCCAGCGCGCTCACTAACAACTACAGCCGCCTGCCACACGACCCCCTTTGTCTCACACACGACCGTGTCTGCAGATCGACCCCAACAGCATCGCAGCCAAGGACGGGCGCATCAGGGAAGGCGATCGCATCTTGCAGGTGCTTATTCACTCTCCGCTTCTACCCCCCCCACCCACCACCATCACCACCACCCGCGGCTGGGGTGTGGTGTGGAGGGGGGATGTGTGGTGTGGAGGGGGGATGTGTGGGTATGGATGGGGGGTGTGGTGTGGAGGAGGGGGGGTGGAGGGTGGGGGTGTGTGGTTTGTAGGGGGGGTGTGGTGTGGTGTGGGGGAGTGTGGTGTGGACGGTGTGGTGTGGTGGGGTGTGGTGTGGGGGGGTGTGGAGCGGGGGTGTGGAGGGGTGTGGTGGGAGGGGAGTGTTGTGTAAGGGGTGTGCGGACAGCAGCCTGCCGGACTGCCGGCGCTGTCCCCATGCACCGTGCGACGGCAGCCGTGGGGAGGAGGAGGAGGAGGGAGAGGAGGGGGGCCCGGTGGGGTCTCCAGGCGCGGCTTTATCAGCGGCAGACGCGCGCGCGCGTGCCGTGCATGCGAATGGCCGTGGGCCTCGGGAGGCGAAGGGGGAATGCGGCGGGGCGCTCCGAGTCGCCGGCGGCGGCAGCGGCGGTGACGGCGGCGCAATAGAATTCGTCGATTTTGCTCAATCTTGCCGGGAGAGAGAAATAAGAACGATAAGAATAATAATCAAATAACTCTACCGCACAAATAGAGAAAAATGATCCACGGATTTTTTTGCCATCGTGCATCGGCTGGTCAATTAAGCAGTCGTCAGAAGCACCTAGGACATCAGGCAGTATTGTGGCTGGGGCCACACATTCCTAGCTGGATATGCGCGTAAGGTACAGCCTGTATGTTTACCATACTTCACTGTGGACTCTATTTTAGAGTGGCACTGTCTTCATCCAGCAGTGGAATGATCACGGCTGATGATGATGATGAAAAACAACAGCCAATCCTGTCTGCTTGCTATTTCGGCAAACAAATGTTTTTTTTATTTAAAGCTGTCCTGACTGCAGTGATTCATATTCTTGGTTCTTTCGGTAAAGTCACGTTGAAGGGAAACAATAAAATAATAATAAAAATATATAAAACAATAAAATTCTCACGACGTTTCGACTGCAACACAAGCAGGTGATGACTGCTTGTGTTGCAGTCGAAATGTCGTGAGAATTTTATTGTTTTTTATATATTTTTTTTATTTTATTGTTTCCCTTCAACGTGACTTTACCGAAAGAAGCAAGAATATAAATGTTTTGTTAATGACGTTAACAAAGGTAAGCAGCATTCAAACGGCGCTCGACATTTTCAATGTATTTTATGCCATTACAGCATCAGCTTGCAATGCTTTTAGCAACACATGGCGCATTGCACAACGCCACTCACTCTGGCACACTCTACCGGAGCATAAAAATGCCACGCATCTAAACTATAAACTACATTTCGATTTAAAGCTTTCGTGACTGCAATGATTCATCTTCTTTGGTTCTTTCGGTAAAGTCGTGAGAATATTATTATGTTATTTTATTTTATCAATTTATTATTTTATTCTCATTCTACGTGACTTTACCGAAAGAACCAAAGAAGATATAAACTACATTTTTTTTGTGTTACCAGATAAGGCCCACTGAGCTATTGAAGTTATTTTTCAGAAGCTACCTGACCACAGATGATAGCTAAACAAAATGGCTACTCACGCGGACATTTATAGCGGCCAAATGCTCTCAACGCGTGTTTCTAAATGCGGAGGGAAAAAACCGGAGAACCTGCGGGAAAAAAAAAACCAAGTAAGCACGGGGAGGGCACGTGCACACTCTAAACGTACAGGCATCGCCAGGTTCCGGATTGAACCCACGGCCTCGTGTATTCCCGGCGAGGGAGTTAAGATCTTGCCACAGCGGCGCCCCTAACATTCGCGATACTTGGGCGCACCTTGGAACATCCTTGAAACGTGTCCAGCTGACTGTCGTACGAGACTGCACTTAATTTTGTTTTCAGCCCTGTTTTTGCGGCGGCGTGTTTTGTAACGTTGCGTTTACGGCAACGTTTAAAATTTGCCCCCCCATTCGTGAAGCAAGGCTGCTGCTGCTGCTGCAGAGACGCCCACGTGCGAACGTTACACAATGCGTGCGCATTATGTTGACGTCACCTGAGTAAAAGTATTTACGGTACAACATCTCAATATTCACGCTCGATACAAGCAGCACTTACGGATACAATAACAACAACTCGAAGCAATGTTTCTCTGTGGTGTATAACGCGAGCGTCGAGCGTCGCATTAACGCCATGCTTTTGTGCTGGATGGCCTTACACCATTTGTTGTTGTTGTTTTTAGATCAACGGAGTGGACATACAGGGGAGGGAAGAGGCAGTGGCCCTTCTGACAAATGAGAAAAATCGGAGGGTGTCTCTTCTCTTGGCCAGACCAGAAATCCAGGTAATGTCGCGCACACCTCGGCACAGTGACCTCATTAAGCACTGCACGGACCTATTCCACGTTGCCACATCCCTCGCTGTCACTTTGCGCTGAATCCACCAGAGCCTGGGGTCATGACGAGGTGTCGCTGCATGGCCTCCCGAAGCTTTTGCATCTCACTCGGTGCTTTGACCACGCGAAAGTGCAAAAAATATGCTTCTGAGCAGCCGGTCAATTAGTGTTCTTACTTTGAAAGCAGTATGCCTTTTACAAGCGCCATGGCAACGGCATGAGATGATAAGGGGGGGGGGGGGAACATAAACACACATTTATGGAACACGCACAGGCAATTTAGACCATCTGGCTCATCCCTTTATGTATCCATTCTCGACATATTCGATTTGTTTTTTTTTTCTCTCGATAATATTAGCTGCTGTCGGGGACTGGACACGGTGGGGTGCGTACGTGAACACGATCAGAGGCCTTAACCTTCGGAGCCTTCGGTTGGACTTGTAACGCCGTGCCACTGTGATCTGTAAAAAAAAAAATATACACCCGGCATAAACATGAGCATTTGCAAGAGGGATTGACCCACTTCTTCAGCTGTTTAATAGAAAAGATATATCTTATTGCATCCCAATAGACTGTGTATCCTGTGGGCCCGCCGCTCGCGGTATTGCGGTGTGAATTGATGAGCGGTTGAAGGCCAGCAGGCATCATTCTCCTGCATGGCACTTACAGCCAGAATGCCATTACGCCTGTGCAGGCCACGGGGCTGAAGAAGCCACCATTTTTTGCACAGATATTGCTTGTGGTGGTTTTTTTTCTTTTTCGGGCGAGGTAACAAAAAAAAAACGCACACGTTACGTACACCGCCAGGATGAATCACGGCATCGAGGCCTTGAAGGTTAACCCTTTCGTCTGCAATCTACCACATTGCCTGCACACGATCAAATGGAGGCACCGTGGCTGCGTTGATGATTCTACTGACCAGACCTTGGGAATTGTGGCGTGACACGGTGCCCCACGTGCTTTCGAATGTTGTGAAACACAGCCGATTTGACAGTGCCTTTGAAAAGTAATGTTCGAACGTGGAATGAAACGATTTTAGTGTGGACTGTGGATGGGCATGAGCATTGCTTCTGAAGATGATCAGGTCAGTTTTGATAAATCCCTGAAACGTTGACTTAAAACCGGCACGATGCCCCGTGGATGGTTTCAGTTGACAAAGTACCGTGACAACCCATATGCGAGTATATCGTTGTGCTATGGGTACATATGTAGTAAATGTCAAATTTTTTTCGAACGAGAAAAAGTATTCAATAATATCTAATCGGCATGTATGAATTGTTCATGAAGATCACTGGAGAGAAACATGTGGGCAATAGAGGTCAGCAGAGCACATAAGCAAAACAGATTTAGTGCATTCGTACTATCAATAGTATTCTGGAAATAATTACGAAATGTCATCATGCCCAGGCTTTGCAGGTTATGAAAGGGCATAAGACTCGGCGGAAATATATGGAGTTATTCAAGCTCTTACTAAACCTAGCCAAAAACAAACATAGTAACGGTACAATCTTTGACAGGGATGCGACCACCGCTATCCTGGTATTGCACAAAGTAATAAAATGCCTATCGGCAGGTGAGTCAGGCCAAGAGATAACACTCTCGGCAAAGTTATTTACAGCGACATTAAAATATGTTTTGCAAAAAATTGGATCGGACGGCTATGTCCTTATCTAGAAGACAATCCAGGAGCATTTACTTAACAGACCGAACCTTGATGATGAGACTCAGAAAGTTGTAACCGGTCTAGAGTGTATGCTTAAAGAAATGTTCCTGTAATAAAAATATTGGTTAAGAGACTCATAAGCTGATGGACAAAATTGTTATTTTATTATTATAGACAGGGTCTTGCATTTTTAGTGAAATGTATATATTACCCACAATCCATCACGATGGCGTGTAATTCCTCATTTTTTTACGTGTACGCACAGGTGACGACGGGTGAAAAAACGAAATCCTACAATATGTTCATAAATTGCACCCATTACATTCACATGGAGGCCTATAATTCACTTCCAATTGTGTACTGTATTGTTATCCAACCAGTCTTCCTAGACCATAGCCAATAGAGTGTCAAAAGGTGATGAATTATAATGCCTTATCAATGCCTCCAGCGCAAAATTAATGCACGCGCGGAGGAACTGCGCCTTGGCAGGGCAGTGAGCGACTTACAAAGTAGGAATTAGCGGATTAGTAGATCCGTTAAGAGGATGAGGGCTCAAAGCCACACCGTGCTCAGGGGAAAATGAGACGGAACGCCCAAATGAAATTCACAGATGTTGCAACCGGAAGCAACCAATGCTTAGGTTAAGTCACCACGAGGTCATGGCCTTCTCCGCACAATGTGTTTGTTAGGCTCTATTACAATGTGAATGCGTGAATGGGAGAAACCAACGTCAAATCGGCAGTGGAGGGGTGTAGTGGAGAATTGAAGGACCCCCACCCACCCCTACCGAGACGTGAATTGAAAGGCCCCAACATCAGCTCCCTCGGGAACTCAAACCTTTTTAGAATTCTAAGAATTAAGTGAAAATGCTTTTGGCTCAGCAACACATACTCAATAGACACAAGTGATGAAAGGAAGGAAGAAAACGATGCAATCGAGAACTTTCTTTCCTGGAAAGAGTCAAATCTTGACTTAACGCTTTCGTGACTGCTGTAATTCATATTATTTGGGTCTTTCGGTAAAGTCACGTAGATAGGTTCAAATAAAATTATAAAAAAACTATGACGTTTCGATTGCAACACAAGCGGCCGTCATCAGGCCGCTTGTGTTGCAAAAGGGGCCCCTGAAATACCCAAAGATTACGTAACGAGTCACTCGGATATTATGGCATTTGTGACACTTCAAATAGCATATTTTCAGATTAAAAGACGCTCTACAAAGTAAGACGAACTAGAAATGTGCGGTAATTTTGATTAAATGTCTTCTTTTTTTTTATCATCGCCAGTATGAAATGCGATTGGGGGAAATCTGACAGAAGCTTCACGAATTGTCAAGTGGTAGCAAGAGCATTGTGAAGGCCTACACGATGACAACTGGGTGGGGGGAAGTCCATAACGAGATTACCAGGAGCGCGAGCCTCCTCCCCTTCCTTCAGAAGTTGCTCGAGCCATTCATCAGAGAGCAAGTCGCAAGTCTACGGTTCGAGATGACGTCATTGTGGAATAAGTTTAAATAAGGAGGGGAAACGATACTTGACAGGATGCATGAATTGTGTGGCAATCTGGGAAACTGGTGAATGGCCAGATGATTGGGCATACTCTACGTGTATCCCACTTCCAAAGAAGGGTGATTCTAAACAGTGTACAGATTACAGGGCAATAACACTGGTTTCTCATGCGAGCAAAGTCCTTCTTTAGTATGATCCTGAAATGGATCCGCTTGAAAACAGAATACGAGATTGCAGATGAGCAAGGTGGATACCAGCATGAGAGAGGAACTAGAGACCAAGTCAACAGTCTCAGGTGCATCATGCATAAGGCAAAACAACATCATCAGCCATTATATATACTGTGAGGAAAAAAGTATTTGATCCCCTGCTGATTTTGTACGTTTGCCCACTGACAAAGAAATTATCAGTCTATAATTTTAATGGTAGGTTTATTTGAACAGTGAGAGACAGAATAACAACAACAAAATCCAGAAAAAGCATGTCAAAAATGTTATGAATTGATTTGCATTTTAATGAGGGAAATAAGTATTTGACCCCTCTGAAAAACATGACTTAGTACTCGGTGGCAAAACCCTTGTTGGCAATCACAGAGGTCAGGCGTTTCTTGTAGTTGGCCACCAGGTTTGCACACATCTCAGGAGGGATTTTGTCCAACTCCTCTTTACAGATCTTCTCCAAGTCATTGAGGTTTCGAGGCTGACGTTTGGCAACTCGAACCTTCAGCTCCCCCCACAGATTTTCTATGGGATTAAGGTCTGGAGACTGGCTAGGCCACTCCAGGACCTTAATGTGCTTCTTCTTGAGCCACTCTTTTGTTGCCTTGGCTGTGTGTTTTGGGTCATTGTCATGCTGGAATACCCATCGACGACCCATTTTCAATGCCCTGGCTGAGGGAAGGAGGTTCTCAACCAAGATTTGACGGTACATGGCCCCGTCCATCGTCCCTTTGATGCGGTGAAGTTGTCCTGTCCCCTTAGCAGAAAAACACCCCCAAAGCATAATGTTACCACCTCCATGTTTGACGGTGGGGATGGTCTTCTTGGGGTCATAGGCAGCATTCCTCCTCCTCCAAACACGGTGAGCTGAGTTGATGCCAAAGAGCTCCATTTTAGTCTCATCTGACCACAACACTTGCACCCAGTTGTCCTCTGAATCATTCAGATGTTCATTGGCAAACTTCAGATGGGCATGTATATGTGCTTTCTTGAGCAGGGGGACCTTGCGGGCGCTGCATGATTTCAGTCCTTCACGGCGTATTGTGTTACCAATTGTTTTCTTGGTGACTATGGTGCCAGCTGCCTTGAGATTATTGACAAGATACTCCCGTGTAGTTCTGGGCTGATTCCTCACCGTTCTCATGATCATTGCAACTCCACGAAATGAGATCTTGCATGGAGCCCCAGGCCGAGGGAGATTGACAGTTCTTTTGTGTTTCATCCATTGCGAATAATCGCACCAACTGTTGTCACCTTCTCATCAAGCTGCTTGGCAATGGTCTTGTAGCCCATTCCAGCCTTGTGTATGTCTACAATGTTGTCCCTGACATCCTTGGGGAGCTCTTTGGTCTTGGCCATGGTGGAAAGTTTGGTATTTGATTGATTGATTGCTTCTGTAGACAGGTGTCTTATACAGATAACAAGCTGAGATTAGGAGCACTCCCTTTAAGAGTGTGCTCCTGATCTCAGCTCGTTACCTGTATAAAAGACACCTGGGAGCCAGACATCTTTCTGATTGAGAGGGGGTCAAATACTTATTTCCCTCATTAAAATGCAAATCAAGTTATAACATTTTTGACATGCGTTTTTCTGGATTTTTTTGTTGTTATTCTGTCTCTCACTGTTCAAATAAACCTACCATTAAAATTATAGACTGATAATTTCTTTGTCAGTGGGCAAACGTACAAAATCAACAGGGGATGAAATACTTTTTTCCCTCACTGTACATGCTTTGTGGACTTCAAGAAAGCATTTGACTCGGTCTTGCATGATAAGTTCTGGTGGACCACCACTAACATGGGATTCCCACTACATCTAATTTAATTACGGGCAAACACTTTATTAGACGCAACTTCTTCTTGGTTCTTTTGGTAAAGTCACGTAGAATGGAAATAAAATAATAAAAATAAAACATAATAAAATAAAATTCTCACGACGTTTCGGCCACAACACAAGTAGCCTTTTTCAGGTGAAGGAACAGAACTGTCGGGACGACAGCGCTTCAATGAACACTGCTAAGCTTGGCAGCGTCTTTTAAGGTAGGTGGGAGGAGCAGAGCGCCTTGACGGAGTTTACATATCAAACAGAAGAATTTAGCATTGAAATAGCTGTGTTAATGTGTTGGATTAGCAGGGTGTTAATGTCAGAAATTAGCATGTAACTGGGAGATTAGCATGATGTTAGTCTGAGGGATTAGCATGTAACTGGTCACGGAAGTAGCTATGTTAAAGTCAGAGTTTACATATCAACAGAGGAATTTAATATATTGACGCTAAAGAACTGCAACTACCCAAATACCATACAATAAAACGATGTGAAAGAACTAAGTATAAACTACATCAATATAATAAATGTACTCAATATATTCTTCTTAACATAAAGTAACTGGGTATACACTACACTATATAATGAATGCCATATAGTAAACTGATAAAAAAACTAAAATATAAACTACATCAATGCTATCAATAAACTCAATATACTCTCCAATCAGCTGAGCTACTAAGAATAAGTCGTTATACATTACAATTATACGTCGAAAAAAGTGGCGGTTTCTTTTTTACGTTAGCACCACGGAAAGCACGCGTTCAACACGATGCAAAATAGTACCCAAAATAAATAATGACAACTGAAGTCGTGATTTGACTGTTTTGCTTCATGCGTAAAATACTAAAGGGGGGGGGGGGAACGACTACAAATGTGAGGGTAATCAGTCCACATTACACCGGTGTCTCAAGTCTGAACAAACTTCCAATTATTCAGCTTTGTGGATGCCGATCAGAATATTGTACCATGGAATCCCAGCAGTGGACACGTTCACACATTTCGCGAAAAAGAGAACACAGCACAATGCAATGACATACAAACTAATATATTGTTTAACCAGGTAAGGCCCACTGGCTATATAGCTTTTTTCAGAAGTGGCCTGGCCACAAATAATAGCTCAACGAAGTGGCTTATCACGTGGACATTTCTAGCAGCCAAATACTCTGAACGTGTGTTGATTCTAAATGTGGAGGGAAAAACCGGAGTATCCGGAGAAAAAAAAAACACTCGACCATGGGGAGGGAGACATGCAAACTCCAAATATACAACGGGCGTCAGGGTTGGGATAGAACCCACGACCTCTTGCATACCAGGCGAGCTAGTTAACATCTCGCCACCACGGCGGCCCCATTGCATCACTGTGAAAGCTTAAGTGAGAGGTAAAGGTGCATCCCTGCAATTGGTAGATGGGATTAAGGAACTTGCCGACTGTTTCAATTGTTGCGCTTGAAGATGTCGTTAAATTGTAGACCCCTGGATTGCAAGCCCAGTGCGGTGACCGTTTACACCGTGGCAATTAGCCCAATTACATTCATAATACACAAAATCAAAGAATTGGAAGGATTCCAATTCAGGACCGTCTATTATGAAGAAAGAAAATGACACGCAAGATTGAAATGTATAGGATGTTTCTTTCCTCCGGTGACTGATGAATTCTTCTTCAGCATCTTTGCTTTGTAACCATTAGCAGAGTTATTTTCCATGACTAGGTTTTCGCCAACAGAGCAGAAATGATGCGCCACCACTAAAATGATAATGCAATGCAAGCTGTTGCAGAGTAATGGATTAACGACCAGATAATTGAAATAAATAGGAGCAATTTTTCCAACTTGCCTTGATGTCAGGGAAAGCTGCACAACACAACAGATGCCTTCAAAATTATTTGGAGATTAACAGATACGTGGAATCATGAAAGCACAAACTAAACCAAAGCCTGATTAGCCTCCTTAATTGTGTACTGCATTTCTGGCAACTTTTTCTTCGCAAAGTAAATGTGGGGCCTAATGCAGAGGGAAAGTCAATTGCGTGCAGTCGGCACAGAAGACACGAACAACTTTCCGCTGCACTGCACGATCGCAACCTGTATCATGTTAGTCCGTCGGCCACAGCAGAAATTGGTGCCACCCGAGGTGGCAAAACTTTAGCCATGCCAAAGTATTTATAACAAGAGTGCATTATTTGATAAGCCACTCGTGTCAAATAGGTATAACACAATCTGTCGTTATTGGCCACAAAATGTCATTTAAACCACTAAAGTCACACCACATCGGGTGTTACAGACGATGTATCTTTTGTTAGACATTACTTCCCTATTTATATATGGATAGAAAACCTGATGTGTCCATCTGTGAGTCAGTCAGTCGTTTTCAGGACTTACCTGAGCAATTGTCATCACACAGAAACAAGTGTTGACTGATTTTGACTGGAAGCCACCAGGGAGCTATGTTTTTTTATGTTGCATATGCATGACCAACGATCTTTCAAATTGATATGAAAAAACTATAAAGACACATTTTTACCATGCTTATGTTTTTAGAAATTAATTATTCTTTCTTTTCCCTTTGAGGTTAGAGAAAAGTTTGGTAAAATGAAGAATAATCGAAAGCTTCAAATCAAGATTAAGTTTACGTATTATCTAAAATTTAACGCCTTCTTGTTACGAGATGTCTGAAATTGCAGGGTGGGTCCCATCCACCGCTGAATCTCGGAACGTGCGAGCGGCTCGCGTACATTTTAATAAGAAAGGCGCAACGCCATTGTTTTTAAAGACATACTACTCACCGTAGGGAACCGTAGTGACACGACCGCATTCTACGATAGCTGGCGCCAAACTGTACCGCACGCCCTCCCGCATGGCCTTGCGGGAGCCTCGATATGTCGTCCGACCTGATTTTATTTTATTTTAGTTATTCCGATGATGTACACTAAGCCATCGGAATGGGAAAAGGGTTAAGTATGCTTATTTTCATGGGAAGCCAGCGTGTGTAGGTGTCGGGTGAATTATGAAATCCCAGCATCCGTGACAGGTGGGAGCCGTATTGGGAGGCCTTTATGCAGCGGTAGATTGACAACGACTTACGATGATGATGAGAATATCAACAGCTAACTTCCCACTCCTATGTCCACCATGGTGGCTTATGTTAAACTACCCTTGAACAAGGCAGTTTGTGCACGTCCGCACCGTGCGCAGAGCTGACCTTAATCTCTCTTAGCAGCCTTGCTGACAGACGGCCTTGTCTTCTTTCCGCTTGCAGCTGGACGAGGGATGGATGGAGGACGAACGCAGCGAGTATCTGGAGGACATAAGCATGGACGTTCTGGAAGAGCAGGACAACCAGGACTTTGAGGTCAACGCCAGCGTCCCTCAGCAGGTCAGCGCACGCCGACATAGAGCGGGTGTCGCCGAGTCCGATTGGGCTCGGAGCACGATTGCCAGAGTGGGTTTCGAGCAGCCCTTCTGCTTGCCTGCTTGCTTGCATGTACAGTATATATGTTGAACTTCTTACGCACCGTAGTAGCCAAACGCGCCAATCAGAGGTGCGTGAGAAGGGAAACAAGCTAAACACAAAAAGCAGTTCTAAAGAAATTTGTTTTCAATCTAGATGATTTAAAAGTGCATAGCTCCAGTGGCTTCCCAATATCCGAAGGAAGAGCGTTCCAGACGGCCGCAAAAAGCGCATCTGAAAGCACGCCATGTGGTGGCCGTCTTTGTTCGATGGTCAGCCAAAATCTCCTGCGAGGATGACCGGAGTTCACGTGATGGGTTTATGCTCATTGCCAAGAGCAGCGAGATGTCGTGGTTTTATTTGTGGCAAGCACTTTGTGTATAATGAATGCGACCTCATAAAGTGCGTGCGCGCGTGTCTTACGCAAGCAGCAGATGAGAACCCCGGAGGACGATGGCACCACGGACAGCGCCCACAACGGGCAGGAGAAGGACAGCGGCGTCGGCCGGACGGACGAGAGCACGCGGAACGACAACGACGAAAACGAGAGTTCCGAACCCGAGCAAGAGATCCCTGCCGACGACGACAACCAAAACTTTGCGGTGCTGACGGACAGTTCCAAAGTCACCAGTCAAGTCGGGGATAGAAAGGGCACCGGCGATGCGTTGTGCGGGAACAGGACGGGCGATAGAACAGCGCGCTCAGATTTAAACATTCCTGAAATGCCTGAGCTCCTGGATTTTAAGTGCCAAATGACGAGTGCCAAGAGGCTCAGCCTGTACTACAGCGCCACGTCCACACTCGGAGTGGGCAAGGTGGACGCGAAGATCCCGGGCGACACGGAAATCGAGCTGCTCAACGAGGAGCTCAGGAACATTGAGATCGAATGCCGCAACATCATGCAGGCCCACGGCAACAGCGCGGCCACGCACCCCCGCAACTACGGCGACCTGTGGCGGCTGCAGGACGGCGGCAACTTCCGCACGTACGGCCGCAAACGGAGCAGGTGCCTGGACGTCACGGACGCCCCCGAGAAGTCCGACAAGGACACGTCGAGCGCTTACAACACGGCGGAGAGCTGCCGCAGCAGCCCCCAGTCGCTCAAGCTCACGGCCATCCGCTCGCTGAACCGCTCCATCGAGAGCACGGACAGCCAGCGGTCGGACAGCGGAGCCAGCCGCGCGTCCACCAGCGTGTGCTCCTCGCAGCCCGGCAGCCGGGAGGCGAGCCCTGCCAAGGGGAAGGTTTCGACGCCGTCCAGAAAGCCGGCGGAGAGCGGCGACGTCGCGCCGGCTCAAGCCGCGGCGGCGAGCGCCGGCGCCGCCGGCAGCTGCGGCGGCGGCGGCGGCGGCGGCGGCGGCAGCGCCAAGCAGCTGTACCAGAAGCTGGGCCGGCAGCAGGGCCAGCTGCAGCTGTCGCCGTACCGCCGGGCCAACGCGCCGTCGCAGGCGCAGCACTACCAAAGCTACGTGCACCTGGTGCAGCAGGGCCACAGCCAGATGAGCCTCCTGAGTGTGTGCAACGAGGCGTCCTTCTCCAGCCAGCAGGACTTCTCGCAGGCCGAGCCCAGGGGCGAGTGGAAGGTGAAGGTGCGCAGCGACGGTTCGCGCTACATCACTAAGAGGCCCGTGCGAGACCGGCTCCTGAAAGGTAACGCGCGAAGGTTGAATTTTATTTTGTTGTTGGTGTGTATTTGTGTACTCATGTATTTTATAGCTGGCACAGTAGGTGGCACAGGTGGTACATCTAGCGGTCATCGCAGTCAGCCAGCCCATGGCACTTGGGTCTGTCCCGAGAGCTCCTCTTGTCAGCAGCGAGCCTTCGACACTTCAAGGGGCCTCAAAGTGCACCTGGCCTGGCATAGGCGCCGTGGTGATGTCACCGTCACTTAATGGCGAATGACGGGTATTGGTGTGCATATTCTTGGTTCTTTCGGTAAAGTCACGTAGATAGAAAATAAAATAATAATAAAAAATAAAAAAATATATACAAATAATACATTGTAAATAATAAAAGCAAAAATAATAATAAATACAAATAATAAACCCACCATATGTATGTATGTTGTATGTTGATAGAGGCAGTGAGATGAGAAGGAAACGGACACTGTGTGTAGGGTGGACAATTAAAAGTGTTTTTTTTTCTTTCGGAAGAATGGAAGGGACAGGAAAGAGAGGAAGACCTAACAGAGAGTGGCTTGACGATGACGACGATAGAGATTGGTGCCAGGGAGATGTGGCACTACTTGAGAATTTTGGCACAAGACAGAGGAAAGTGGAAACGAATGACGAAATGTGCAGTGGACGCCTGTCCAGATATCGTGATGATGTATATTTAACTTCTTTTGCACCGTACATAGCCAAACGCACTAATCGAAGGCACCTGCTTCCTTTTCCGGTGCGCACTTTTGGACTTTGCCACCGTTTGCTGCATCTCTGTGGCTCTTCTGCCAACCCGGCGGCGGCGGCAACGTGCCACGAGAACTGGGGGAAACGCGATGACGACCTGTGGCCCGGCACAAGAACTTGCAGTTCCTCGTCGCGATCTAGGAAGCAACAGCAATGCGTGAACAACGCAAAGGGAAAGGGAGGAAGAGGGCGAGAGGAAAAGAGAGCAGACGAGACGTTTAAAAAAATGTTGTTTCTCCCACTTTAACAGTTTGACGGAGTACACCATTTGGACCTATATGGCCATACTTAAGCTTTGTGTGCTGCATTTATATTGGGTGATTACCAAAGCATGGGGATGGTATGACAGTAGCATTCTCGTTCCCATGTAACCCCCCGCCACCGCTAATACAATCAATACGGTATAGAGTAAGCGTGCCCTGTTTCAAAGAAAAGGTCCCGCCAGCTGTTTAACCTTGTCAGCGAGTCTGTCAAAGGGTCGTCTGAAAAAAAAGTCCAATAAGTACTTTGAGTCTATTGAATGCACTCGGTCAATTGTGCATATACTCAGAATTTAACTAAGAGCAGCCTAATAAGTTGCACGGGGAGATACATACATTTTATAGCGACCCCAAAACTTATTCCGGCGAAAACTTTTTTTTTGCTTCGGATTTGAGCTCCAGGCGGTGCTCATTTCCCACTGGTGGCTCTGAACCCAGCCGTGCAAATTCCACGTTCTCATAGCCTGGGGCCGGTGCTTGATTCCCCCCACGAAGTGCTGCTTCTTTGACTGACCTAAGGGAACGACGCTGCCATTGAGTCAATCCCCCACCGGGTCACTTTTCAGATGACCTTCCAATTGCACCAAGCGCTCTCTCTCTCCCCGCAGACTGCCACCCGGCTGGGTACAAAAAGGTAAAGGTGCAGGGCCGCAATTACTCGCTCGTGCAACTGTTGGAGGAAATGCCCCCATTAGGAGCCCGAGTAAGACAAAGGAGCAAGGGTCTTTATCTTGGAAGGGATGGGAGTGACCACGCTTTACTCCACCACACATGGCCTACCGATCAACTAGGCATGGTGAACCCTTATATACTGATGGGTGGACAGAGATGATGAGGTGGGGCACGTGGGGGGTTAAACAAAAAACGTGTTGATTGTTTCAACTGCCGCACCAGAAGAACAAACTGAACCGGTGACCTCTGGATTGCAAGTGCAGTGCGGTTACCAGTGCATCACAAGAGAATTATCCAGGCATAGAAGCGGAATACATATTTACTAGCCTTTTGCCCGTCCAAGGACGGGTGCATTGCATTAAATCGGAAACTTGCAAGCGAAAATCAGACCGCGACGTGATATCCATTGCATCCATTCATGTGCAGTTTGTAAGGCCGCGGTGACACAGACCTATTTCATTTAAAGGTTATAATCCCTTGTTCATCATGACGTCCTTTTTACTTCTATGTCTCAACAGCGTTACGGAGATCACGTGACGTGAGGGTTCTGCCTTTGTAGTGAGGGTTGTAAGTTGACGCCGAGGAGGGGGGAGGAGGCGCCTCGCCCCTCCCCCATGGTGGAGTGACGTCACCCGCTAATTATTATGAATGGGGGGGGGGGTGTCCATTTGGAGGACGTCACCTGCTCATGATTATTAATGAGGGGGGGCTGTTCGATGTTGAGTGATGCCACCCGCTCATGATTATTAATGAGGAGGGGTGGGAGGGTGTCCGTGTCCATTTGAAGGACGTCACCTGCTCATGAATATTAATGAGGGGAGCTGGTCGACGTGGAGTGACGTCACGAGCGTTAAGGACATTCCTGGGTGATTGTAGTAGGTGTACTGGAGGAATCCGATGAGCTCTTCCAGTATTTTTCACAAATGTCCATTAGTTTCACAGATGTCCACAGGTAAAGTTCGAGCAGCAGTCCTGCATTGCGTTTCATGCCACTGCTGAGAGAAAGGGCCTCCAGAAGAGCCCCTGTAGGGGGGTGTGTGGCCTCCGCTTCCGTGCTGGCTGACGTCAAGCCGGCCGCACCTCCCTCCGATTAGCACACCTTGGCTACGTACCATGTGAAAGAAGTTCAGCGTGCGTACATGCAGATCATCGGTAGACAGCCCGGTGCATAAAAACTGTGAATAGAGTATTTACTTTTTAATCCAGTCACGCCCGTCCGTTCCCTCCGTACGCTCGCCCGCCCGTCCACCCGTCGCTGCGTTTGTCCTCTTCCACCCCGCCTACCCAACAGAGCGAGCGATGAAGATCAAGGAGGAGCGCAGCGGCATGACGACGGACGACGACGCGCTCAGCGAGATGAAGATGGGCCGCTACTGGTCCAAGGAGCAGCGCAAGCAGCACCTGAACCGGGCGCGCGAACAGCGGCGGCGCCGCGAGTTCATGATGCGCTGTCGCCTCGAGTGCCTCAACGAGAATCCGCACGAGGGCGGCTCCATCGCCGGCTCCGGGGGCTCGGCCGCCGGCTCCGCCTCGGCCTCCGCGTCCGGCGCCGAGAGCCGCAAGGAGGTGAGCATCCTGGAGCTCAGCCACCGCAAGATGATGAAGAAGCGTGGCAAGAAGATCTTCGACAACTGGATGACGATTCAGGAACTGCTGGCCCACGGCAGCCGCTCCCCGGACGGCACGCGGATTTACAACCACTTGCTGTCCGTCACGACGGTGTGAACGTTGACTGTTCGCGAGATGGGTCACAGCCCGCCCCACCCGAGCCTCGTCGCGCAGTTTGGCTGTCGGCTTGGGTGCAAGAGCTGTCCTTATGACCTTTGGTGTTGTCGAGGGTTTAATAACACTTGCCAATTCCAGGTGGTGCCATGGCATCTGTAACCCGCTGCCCTGACTTTTTGTCACTGTTGAAAAACGATACGGGATGGAAAGCAGTTTTAACTGACGTGTATTTGAAATACATTGATGGGGTTTTTTTGGCATTTATGTACTGTATATTATTCGGTTTGTACTCTGCGTATCGTCGATGACTACTCTTGGCAGTCCTTTTGCGGAACGCTCACTTGTGTGAAAACCTGCTCACGCTCACAACAACAAAAGGTAAATGGGGCATCGCGGTGGCGAGATGTTAACTACCTTACCTGGTATGAAGGAGGTGGTGGGTTCGATCCTGACCCTTGCACCTGCTGAATATTTGGAGTTTGCATGTTCTCCACGTGGTCGTGTGGATTTTTCTCCGGGTCCTCCGGTTTTTCCCTCCACATTTCCAATCAACATCAAGCGTTCAGAGTATTTGACGGCTATAAATGCCCACATGATGATGAGCCACTTTGCCGTGCTATTACTTTTGGCCAGGTTGCTTCTGAAAAAGAGCTACGTAGCTCAGTTGGGCCTTATCTGGTAACAATAAAAAGAAGAAGTCTAGCGGACGTAATGTTTGCATAAAAAAACTTGCTCCTTGTGTACGGTTTACAAAAGTGTTTTGGGTAGACATTATTTTAATTAAAAAAAGACAGAAAAGGGAAAGAAAAATGACGTGCAAAATTAATGCGGTGTTTGCTAAAATATAACAAAACAACAGTGCCAGCTTATTTCAGCAATCTTGAAATACTAAACGAGGTCTAAACACACTGTACGTTTAAACATTAGTGTTATCGCACCCATCGTTCATTCTGAACAAAAGTACTTGTTTTTTTTTCAATACAGATGATTGCACATGCTTTATTACAATTGTCAAATCTCCAGTCTCTTCCCATGCTCCGACTCACTCTCCTCTCAGGTCAAATCGCAGGATTTAATGACGCTTAATCGACCAAGAATAAATCGCTGGGTAACCTATTTTGTATTAGACATGTAAAACTGGAGCCCTCACTCGTAGATTATATCCCACAGTATGTATTCATGTTACCGTATATCAGTATGAAATCCTCAACAAGAATACAAAGTACTTCACGGATACATAACTAGTGTGTGACGTTTGGTTTGTGCCCTTTGGCCCATGCCATTAAATAAATATATGGTTCGGAGTGAATTCTACCGATCGACAGCATTAGAGTTACCAATCACACTGAAAGACGCACATTTTTGCCATTGTGCGAATGGAAATTTCAATACTGTACCATTTTCTATCGCAGTTAATAAAACACAATCCTGTATATATCACATGGCAAATGGTTCACCAGCGAGTTCTTGAGAATTGCATGCAGGCAACCGCAGAATTTGCATAGCGATGGGATTTACACATTCCAGAGTAATATTACAGCAGCATCTGTGTTATACAGATCTTCATTAAGGTCGCAGGTGTGATCTGCGTCAACCAGTTAACTTTAGCACCTAAGTAGAATAGTGCTACACTTGCAAAGCAATTTGAAATTTGCAAAGCAATTTAGCACTCATTTAATTAATTTATTTAAATTCACTTGTTCACTTCTGATTTGCATGTTTTGTAGCGTGGCGGGATTGATCTCATTCAGTCTGTAGAGGATTATCTTTGTACATTCATAACGTCACAGAGTTTAACTGCTTTTGGCATGTGTGCCATGTAAGATAACATTATAAAACAGTCGTATTAGACAGTTGTGCTTTTTTTAGGAATACATAAAAAATTATAAATTATTTGTGCGATATGACAAAAAAGAAGTGACGCATTTGTTGCTAATAATTTTTGCTATTACGCGTCAGTAATCTGTGGTGGATGTTTTTTTTTTGTTAATCAGATGCTCATTTCGTTCAACCAAGGTCAACGCAGCAACAGGAGGATGAATGAAGTTAGCGGACGGCATGAAAACGGCGCATTGTGGACTTTTTTCTCCCATAGTGCTTGCTGGTAATCGGAGGTGAATGCGGCATTGTCGCGAATGGTAATTAGCATCCTTTCAATAAAAAAACAGTGGGTTTTTTTTTTGCGGCTGGAAAAAATTGAAGAGCTGTGGTCAAGAATCGCGTGCGCTAAAAAAAAAACCCTACTCGGAAAAGATGCAACGGACAATTAATAAAACTGTCAAACCGTCTGATACGTTGCCACTGACTGCAGCCATGAGCAATGGCAGGCACTTTTTTTTGCATTTTGATTCATGTCTCATAGGGGGGGGGGGGACGATATTAATGTTGCATACGGGAAACGGTGGCTGACAGCTACGGTTATGTATACATACGATATATGAAAAGAAAATAGGATAATTCAGTGAAATTGTCTGCCCATGTACGTACTACTGAGGGTTTGGATAAGCATTAAAGCATGCAGTTTACTGGTCTTCATCTTTCTGTGAATGGCTGGTTTTGTAACATCTCTCATTCACCAGACTTTACCATCTCAGGTGTACAATTGCAGTGCCATGGTCATACGCGGTGGTAAGCTGTAACCAGCACATATGTGAACAATACGTTAATAAATTCAATTAGAAATGTTCAAATATTTGTCTGTTATGTTTTTTTTCATTTTTGCCACCCATCACCCGTGTATTTCAGTAACAATGAACCAACAAACATCCTCATTGAGTCTCCACCAGAACATCACTTCGTGGGAGATGCTTCGAAAGTTCATCTCCATCGAATTGCCAGCAACTCATTTTTTTTACGAATTTCGAAAACTCAGTCAAAGTGGTTTAATGTTACAGGGCATGACAAAAGAAAAACAATGCCTGTTCCATCAGCAGCTGTGCGCACCCATGATTATTGTTAGTGGATAACATTGCGAGGTTTGCTGCATGCTTGGGATGACCGTCGACATCATATTTTTTTCATACCAGATTTTTGGGGAGGATTTTTAGGCCCAATTTCAGATTGTTTTAGTATTTAGAAAATGTCTGAGGGGGGGGGATTGGAATTAAACGTGTGACATTTTAATAACTTTCATTATTAAAATGTCATAAATTTACATACTGTTATATATGAAGCAATTCATCTTAATAGTTAACAAAACGTTCCATCAAATGTGTTCATAATTTTCTAATTGAAGGCAAAACACGATGGCACATGTTGTAAACATGACGTCCTGTTTGTGTCGCACCTTTTTTGACGGGAAAAGCGCGGATGTAACGTCATGGAATTGATACCGCGTCGTGTCGTCATTCCCAAACAAAAACACTTTGGGGATCACAACAAAAAAGCATTGTATCTAGTCCCGAATGTTGTGTTTTTGGGAAAAATACAAAATGAGAAACACATTCCCTACTCAATGCTCTCTAGCAAAGGTGTCAACGGCAGTGTGCCACCTATAACGACTTAGAAAGGTGTTTTTTTTACATGTAATTTATTTTAATATTATCCTCGTCGTCAGGTAATAGGCGCCTGTGGGCTTATGTGAATAAATTTTAGATGGGTGCAGTGATAATAACGTTTTACAGTTGCTGCAAGCAAATATTGTATTACTTAAGTACATAGTCCGCTTTACCTATAATTATTTTGATTCAAAATACTTTCTTGGCTTTTCCACAATGGTATTCAATTTTTTTGCTATCAGCATGATGTTACAGTGGCTCATTGAACCATCAGGTCTCTTTTTAATTAGGACATCCAAAAAAGGTATCTGTCTACAGGAAAGCTACCCATACGGATGCTTATCTGAAACCGGATTCCCACCACCATCCATCACAGAAGAATTCTCTCATCAAGACTCTGTATCATAGAGCCCAATGCATATCCGACCAGGAACACATAAGCAGTGAACTCAAGCACGTACACCAAGCTCTTAGGGCTAATGGTTACTCCGACTATACAATCCGCAAAGCTATCACTCAAACCATGAAGAAGAACCCTCTTGAGGAGCCTTTCAAAACCATCACTTTACCCTACATTGCTGGGATCACAAAAAAGATCTCCAAAATCTTGAATAAACACAAGATCCAGGTCCGTTTCAACACATTACATAAAATCCGTGATCTGGTTCCGTCTGTAAAAGATGTGATTCCGGACATACAATACCCTGGTGTCTACAAACTAAGTTGCCTCTGTGGTAGTAGTTACATTGGAGAAACCAAACGCCATATCTCGGACCGCATTCGTGAACATAAAGCAGACCTTAAACACGGTAGGACCAACACCTCGGCCGTAGCAGATCATTGTTCTAATTCAGTAGGCTCACATGCCATTGACTTTTCCAAGACGGAGGTTCTTTGTAAGCCATCTGGCTTCCATGAGAGATTCGTTCATGAGGCTATCCACATATACAAACACAGAGACAATTTCAACCGAGAAGATGGATTCTATCTTAGCAATCATTGGAAAGATTTGATAAATCATTTCAGTTCTTGATTGATTGTTCACGCTTACAGTGGCTTTCAGACAGCATACATAAAAACAAATTTCGTCTCCCCCCTCCTCTTTTCAAAAAATAGATGGACTAGTCCTGGCAAACAGCTAATCGTTGCGCGTGACGCAAACGTTATTTTTATATATAAATAAATAAATATGCCGTTTTCTAAATAAATTTATGCAAACCGACACACCTGATGATGACCGTTTGAGTTATGGTCGAAACGTCGTGAGAATTTTTTATTGTTTTATATATATTTTGTTATTTTGTTGTTTCTCTTCAACGTGACTTTACCGAAAAAACTAAGAATATGAATTACTGCAGTCACGAAAGCTTTAAATCAAAATCTCTTACTTTGTTTTCCTTCCTTCCAAATCGCAAAAGTTTTACTCGACTCACTGTGGCCAAACACATTGACGATTATCACTATCAATGCTAAAATTATTGCCATGTAAGGAATTTTATGTCACGCTAATTTAAAATGCCACAATTAATCAGAATCGCGTGTAAAGCCACGTTTTAGGTTTACGGTGGCGGTGGTAGTGATGATGATGATGAGTCGGTGCGTTTGCTTTATACAATGGAAATTAAACTCACTTGCCCTCAGCCTATCGAATACCGCTTAATTTACATTCCGTGCGCGGAAAATATTAGGAAGCGTAATTAAAGTCGCCCACAATTGGCCGCGATGACTTGAATATTAATTGAACATTACTGGTGAGTTACGCTAATTGTGAATGCTACGCCGCAGCATACGCTATGCAGGGATTACATCTACAATTTGCGTAAAGCTTAAAACATGATATTCATATAAAATAATATATTAAAGATTTCCACTCGGCTCACCAAGCGGCGACATGCGCCTGCAGTGCACACACTGCGCCGATGCTCCTGTTCAGATTAATATTCATATGGCACGCTCAGTGAAGATTATTTATTGCCTTTTTGTGTAA